CACCAGGTCACTACCTCCACACGACCAAGTCACTACCTCCACCCACCAAGTCACCACCTTCCACCCCCACCAAGTCACTATCTCCACCCCACCAAGTCACCACCTCCACCTCCACCCAAGCCACTCCACCCCACCAAGTCACCACACCCACCAGTCACCACCTGACCTCCACCCCACCAAGTCACCACCTCCACCAAGTCACCACCCCCACCAGTCACCACACCCCCACCAAGTCACCACCTCCACCCCCACCAAGTCACCACCTCCACCCCACCAAATCACACTCCACACCCCACCAAGTCACTACCTCCAACCCCACCAGGTCACCACTTCCACCCCCACCAAGTCACCACTTCCACCCCCACCTAAGTTACTACCTCCAACCCACCAGGTCACTCACTCCACCCCACCAAGTCACTACCTTCACACCCACCAGGTCACTCCTCCACCCCCACCAGGTCACCACCCCACCCCCACCAAGTCACCACCCCCACCCCACCCCACGTCACTACCTCCACCCCACCAAGTCACCACTCCACCCCCACCAAGTCACCACCTCCAACCCCACCAAGTCACCACCTCCACCCCACCAACCACTTCCACCCCACCAAGTCACTACACCCCCACCAAGTCACAAACCACCTCCCACCTCACCCCCTTCACACCTCCACCACCACCATCACCACTCCACCCCACCAAGTCACTCACCACCTCCACCCCACCAAGTCACCACCCCCACCACCAGTCACCACCTCCACCCCCACCAAGTCACCACCTCCACCCCACCAAGTCACCACCTCCAACCCACCAGGTCACTCACCTCACCACCTCCCACCCCTCACCACCTCACCACCTCCACCCCACCCAAGTCACCACTTCCACCCCACCAAGTCACACCTCCACCCCACCACGTCACCACCTCCACCCCACCAAGTCACCACCTCCACCCCACCAAGTCACCACCTCCACCCCCACCAAGTCACCACCTCCAAGTCACCACTTCCACCCCAACCCACCAGGTCACCACTCCACCCCCACCAAGTCACCACCTCCACCCCACCAAATCACTACTCCACCCCACCATCACTACCCCACCAAGTCACCACCCCACCACCAAGTCACCACCTCCAATCACCACCTCCAACCAAGTCACCACTCCACCCCACCAAGTCACACCTCCACCCACCGTCACCACCTCCACTCCAAGTCACCACCTCCACCCCACCAAGTCACCACCCCACCAAGTCCACCACCTCCACCCCAAGTCACCACTAACCTCCACCCCACCAAGTCACACCTCCACCCCCACCAAGTCACCACCCCACCCCACCAAGTCACCACTTCCACCCCCACCAAGTCACCCCACCCCACCCCTCAACCCACTCACTCCACCCACCTCACCACCCCACCCACCCCACCAAGTCACCACTTCCACCCCACCAAGTCACCACCTCCACCTCCACCCCACCACGTCACCTCCACACCACCAAGTCACCACCTCCACCCCACCAAGTCACCACCTCACCTCCACCCCCACCTCACCACCTCCACCCCACCAAGTCACCACCTCCACCAAGTCACCACCTCCACCCCACCAGGTCACTACCTCCACCCCACCAGGTCACACCTCCACCCCACCAGTCACCACCTCCACCCCACCAGGTCACCACCTCCCACCCCCACCAGGTCACCACTCCACCCCACCAGGTCACCACCTCCACCCCCACCAGGTCACCACCTCCACCCCACCAAGGTCACCACTTCCACCCCCACCAAGTCACCACCTCCACCAAGTCACCACTCCACCCCCACCAGGTCACCACCTCCACCCCCACCAGGTCACCACCTCCACACCCCAACAAGTCACTACCTCCACCTCCACCAAGTCACCACCCCACCAAGTCACCACCTCCACCCCCACCAGGTCACCACCTCCACCCCACCAAGTCCGTCACCACCTCCACCCCCAGTCACCACCTCCACCCCACCAAGTCACCACCTCCCACCCCACCAAGTCACCACCTCCACCCCACCCCACCAGGACACTACCCACACCCCACCAAGTCACAACCTCCACCCCACCAGGTCACTACCTCCACCACTCCAGGTCAGTACCTCTATCCCCACCAGGTAAGTAACTCCATCACCACCACCACCAGGTCAGTACCACCACCCCACCATCCCCAGGTCAGCACATCAACCCCACCACCTCCCAGGTCCGTACCTCCACCCCACCCACCACCCCAGGTCAGTACCTCCACACACCACCCCAGGACAGCACCTTCACCCACCACCCCACCAGGTCAGTACCTCCACCCCACCACCCTTACCAGGTCAGCCTCACCCCACCACCCTTGCCAGGTCCAGCCTCCACCACCCACCACCCTTGCCAGGTCAGTACCTCCACCCAACCACCCCCAGGTCAGTACACCCACCCAACCACCCCCAGGTCAGTACCTCCACATCCACCACCCCCAGGTCAGTACCTCCACCCAACCACCCCCAGGTCAGTTCCTCCACATCCACCACCCCAGGTCAGTACCTCCACCCCACCACCCCAGGTCAGTACCTCCACCCCACCACCCCACCTTACCAGGTCAGTACCCCATCCAACCACCCCCAGGTCAGTACCTCCACCCCACCACCCTCAGTACCTCCACCCCACCACCCCACCAGGTCAGTACTCCACCACTCCCAGGTCAGGGTCAGCACCTCCACCCCACCACCCCAGGTCAGTACCTCCACCCCACCACACCCGGGTCAGTACCTCCACCCCACCACCCCAGGTCAGCACCTCCACCCCCACCCCCAGGTCAGTACCCCCACCACCCCAGGTCAGTACTCCACCCCACCACCCTTAAAAGTCAGCACCTCACCCCACCACCCCCAGGTCAGTACCTCCACACCCACCACCCCAGGTCATTACCCCCCACCACCCCCCAGGTCAGTACCTCCACTCCCACCTCCCCCAGGTCAGTACTCCACCCCACCACCCTTACCAAATCAGTACCCCCACCACCCCACGTCAGTACCTCCACACCCACCACCCCCAGGTCAGTACCTCCACCCCCACCTCCACAGTACCTCCACCCCACCACCCCCAGGTCAGCACTCCACCCCACCACCCCCAGGTCAGTACCTCCACCCCACCACCCCAGGTCAGTACCTCCACCACACCACCCCAGGACAGTCCTCCACCCCCACCACCTCCAGTACCTCCACCCCACCACCTCCAGGTCAGTACCTCCACCCCACCAACCTTACCAGGTCAGTACCTCCACCCCACCACCCCCAGGTCAGTACCTCCACCCAACCACCCCCAGGTCAGTACCTTCATCCCACCACCCCCAGGTCAGTACCTCTACCTCACCACCCCAGGTCAGTACTGTAACAATGTCATAAGTTTCCCGCCACCTGAGAGTTCCCGCCAATTTCGAACCAATAGTATGAAGGCCTTAGGCCTGTCTTCGACCAATGATAAGGCCTATGAGGTGTGACCTCGTGAAAGTTGTGGCGTCCCTTGTGGACTGACGCAGTTTGAAAATCGAAGTCTGTGTTTGGTGAGAGTTAAGTGTGGTTGTGTCCTGGGTGTCACCTCATATGGTGGCTATAATGTGAGTACCTATTAGATTTGATCTGTTTCCTGAAATGTGGTGTGATTCATGGTCCCCTTGGTTAGCAAGCTAGGAAGAAAGGTTTATTGTTTTGAAGTGTAATCGTCAAACCCTAATAGAGGGTATTCAATAAATACAGTAACCGTTAATAAGAGTCCTAATTCGTCCCTCCCTTGTTGAGAAAGAGTGATGTTTATAAATGTCTTGGTATTGTGCAGTAATACGGTGAGTCATATATATATATATATATATATATATATATATATATATATATATATATATATATATATATATATATATATATATAATAACTATCCCATATTTCCCCTCTGTTAAGTGTGTATCTTAGTCCCCAGCTATCCACCCCCTAGCCTCTCCTCTTGATGTAGCCTAACCATAAACCAGCCGTTAGCCCTGTTCTCCCCTCCCCTCACACCCTCTCCTCATACGTAAACAATTACCTCTCACTACTTCCCTCACTCCCTCCACCTCTCACGAGTATAACGAGAAAGAATAGCAGGAATAAGTAAAAGAAAGAGCAAGAGTAAGTGAAAGAAGTAAGAATAAATAAATAAATAAATAAACAAATAAAAAGAATTAAAATGACAATATAAGAGAAATTTGTTACATAAAATATGTTACATTAAATATGGTACATAAAATTTTTTACAGTACCTCCACCCCACCATCCCCAGGTCAGTACCTCCACCCCCACCAGCCCAACTAAGTCATTACCTCCGTCTCATCATCCCGTGTGAAAATCAAACCTATATTAAAGGAGGACACTTTTCTAACCCTTTGAGAACGAATTGCTTAAATAGAACTGTTGTCTTCAAAGAATTAATAATCTAATTTATAAACCTACTAGCACGCTCTTTACTGCTAAACTCCTCAATCTTTCACAAGGCTAACCATAAAGAGGATAACACATGGCTGGACATCGAAACTATTACCGTATTTCATAATAAATTTCAGTCTTTTAACGTTAGTTTGGTGTCTAAGGTTTACATTCACGTTACTATGAATCTTTTCTCGGGTCTCCAGCGAACCCCAGCAAAATCTTAGAGAAAGTCAGGTGGAGTTAGCCTTGGTTGTCAGTGAGAGAATTCAGAGACCACCAACGTCCCTCCTCCTAAAACGACTGAGGAAGTGCACCAACCAAATCCCACCACAGATATCTCACTAATTTCCCAATAGACAGTATCCCACCAAAAGATGAATATTAATAATAATAATAATAATAAAAATTATAAATCTTTGGACAGGGTGATACAATTTAATACAAACATAGACACAATCCCATCACCTCAAATTTGTTTGTCTTAGATTTGATTAGATTAGATTAGGTGGTATGCTACAAATAATAGATAATCGTCTCGTTTACAGGAAGAGTAACAGCACCGAGATCCGCTGGTGGACAAACCGCGAGACAGTCCTCGTTCTCACTCACATAGAGATGAAGATACGACGACTACGACCTCATGGAACACCGGACGAAGACTGGGCCACAAGCGATGACGCAGCTTTAGGAGACGAAGACGACAACTACGAGAGCACCTTGTCGCCTGAAGAGGAGGGCCAGAGTGAACCTGTGGACTACGAAGCCTGGTGGAAGACTCCCTGGGTAGGCACCGACGGCGGCGACATCCCCGGAAACGACAGTTTTTGGGGAAACGAAGGACGCTCGGACATCAGTCCCTGGGAGGTGACACGCAGAAACTGATGTGTTTTTGTTGATGGCATCTCATAACTCACCTACACTTAACTAAGATAACCCAACACTCATGTAACAACTATAATAAACTTTGATCTGTGACGAGTAATTATATAATTATGATATTCTGATTTTACTCAAGCTAGCGTACGTTTGTCAAAGATATTTTATCATTCACCGATTTTTTTTTTTTCGTTTAGTGATATAAAGCTGAAGTTTGGGACTCAGTGATGAGCCCGTTAATAAATGTTAAACAAGTGCATTACCGTGTTTATAGTATTACAAAATATGGAAATGAAACAGCTATCACACTAGGCAAGTTAAGGGTAAACTAATATAAACTCAAGCTTGACCTATTACACGCATGGTTTATTTAAGGATATAATGTATATATATATATACAGTATATGCATATAAATCACTGTAGGTGCGCGTGATCCATGTATATGCTAATAACCACAAGGAAAAAGAAAACACGAAGTTCCCGAGCGCTTTCGTGTAATTCACATCTTCAGGGATGAGTACAGACTAAGGAGTAGTTACTGACAAGACTAATATATACAGTAAACGAGAGTGATATCAAGTCCCTAGGGACAGCAGGTGTCCATCATATTCAAGTCATTAATTAGTTACCCAACCCTTTCACCTGGCTACAAATCTTCTTAATCAAAAATTATCCAGTTTGTACATGCCATTACTGAAATTCATGTTGACCGATTCGGTTCGTTTACTGAGACTAGATTCTATAAAGTTCCTACTGACAATATTATTGAATTACAATGTAATATTGAGGAAGCATTATCCAAGGCAATGCAATACTTATTATCTCTCATATGAATGAACAGAGCATTGGATTCCTGGCCTGTCCTAACACTATATTTATGCTGTTTAAGACCTGGTTAAAAGATCTTTTCCCGCCTGGCCAAAGTAGAACATATTACATTCCTTGCAAGGAACCTTGTACATGAAGCCACCTGCATTGTTGGGGGAGCTTTTAATTAACATTTGTTTTACAGTGCATGAGTTACTAAACGTTGCTAGTCTCACCTCACCCTTCACACCTCCTGTTGCTAGCCTCACCTCACCCTTCACACCTTCTGTTGCTAACCTCACCTCACCCTTCACACCTTCTCTTGCTAGCCTTACCTCACCCTTCACACCTCCTGTTGCTGGCCTCACCTCACCCTTCACACCTACTGTTGCTAACCTCACCTCACCCTTCACACCTTCTGTTGCTAGCCTCACACTTCACAACTTCTGTTGCTAGCCTCACCACACTTCACAACTTGCTAGCCTCACCCTTCACACCTTCTGTTCCTAGCCTCACCTCACCCTTAACATCTTCTGTTGCTAGCCTCACCTCACCCTTAACATCTTCTGTTGCTAGCCTCACCTCACCCTTCACACCTTCTATTGCTAGCCTCACCTCACCCTTCACACCTCATGTTGCTAGCCTCACCTCACCCTTCACACCACCTGTTGCTAGCCTCACCTCACCCTTCACACCTTCTGTTGCTAGCCTCACCTCACCCTTCACACCTCCTGTTGCTAGCCTCACCTCACCCCTTCACTCCTTCTGTTGCTAACCTCACCTCACCCTTCACACCTTATATTGCTAGCCTCACCTCACCCTTCACACCTCCTCATGTTGCTAGCTTCACCTCACCCTTCACACCTACTGTTGCTAGCCTCACCTCACCCTTCACACCTTCTGTTGCTAGCCTCACCTCACCCTTCACACCTACTGTTGCTAGCCTCACCTCACCCCTTCACACCCTCCTGTTGCTAGCCTCACCTCACCCCTTCACACCTACTGTTGCTAGCCTCACCTCACCCCTTCACACCTCCTGTTGCTAGCCTCACCTCACCCTTCACACCTACTGTTGCTAGCCTCACCTCACCCTTCACACCTCCTGTTGCTAGCCTTACCTCACCCCTCACACCTTATGTTGCTAGCCTCACCTCACCCTTCACACTCCCTCCTGTTGCTAGCCTCACCTCACCCTTCACACCTTCTGTTGCTAGCCTCACCTCACCCTTCACACTTCCTGTTGCTAGCCTCACCTCACCCTTCACACCTCCTGTTGCTAGCCTCACCTCACCCCTCACACCTTATGTTGCTAGCCTCACCTCACCCTTCACACTCCCTCCTGTTTCTAGCCTCACCACACCCTTCACATTACCTCGTCTTATGGCTGGGCCCACCTCCCCGTTTCATCTTTTACATGCGTCTTCTTGTCAATCCATCCTCTTGTATAGTTCCATTTCCCCAAGCAATCATCATCCACTATCCCCCCAGGTTACGGGCACTGTGGGTTTGATCACCTGGAAGTGTTTATTGTATTCCATGTAGCAAATGTAATTGTAATTATGTAGGACAAACAGGAAAAACACTACAGCTCAGAATCAAACAACATTAGTAAAATATCAGAACAGCATCTGAAAGCAATGCCTTGTTCGTTCATGTTAGGAATAATAATCACCCCATTGCTTGGGAAAAAAGCTTAGAAGTATTTAAATCATCTTGTGTCACAGAAAGACTTCTGGTTGAAGCTAGTTTGATTAAGGAATTAAAATCAATAAACCTTAGTGATGGTCAGTTCAAAACTGATATGTTACATAGATTTATTTGTCAGTGGCCCAAGGTTAAAAATGCTTTGAAAACCTTTGATCTAGATGTATGATAATTATTTTGTGGGTCCCTTATTTTTGACCTGACCTGACTAGTCACGTCACCCCCCTTCTCTTAAGCTCCTCTACGTGTGTGTTGGTGTGGGGATTAGTGGATGACATCATTATGACCTGACCTCATGTTTTTAAGGTCACCCTGTATAATTTAAGCCTCTCTCTGTCCATGTAGTCCAGTTGCCTCTGAAGATGTCTTGAATAAAGACAAAAGCTAAGGTGCTCCGTTGTTTCCATTTTCCCGTGTGATTTTATCAAGATTTATCTTATCCACGTTTTCATTGTGGATTTCATTGTGTCGCACTTGGCCGTGAACCTGACAGATGACACCTACCTGATAACGAGATCTGAGATTGCCGAGTTCCACGACATTTTGAATAGTGAGTTACTTAATGCATAAAGGCAGAACATACCATACAAAAAACTCAAATCAGACAACAATGACCCTAAATGGATAAATAATTATAGCCTATAGCCAAAGGAAGGCTATAGGTAGAAGGATAAATCGTGGCGAAATTCACCTCCGGGACTATTATAGGGTATTGGCGAGTAGGGTTAAAGCCGAGATAAGGAAAGCAAAGAGGAATAATGAGGTAAGGATAGCAAGGGAGGCGAAGACAAACCCCAAAGGATTCTACCAAATGTATCAAACTAAAACACGAGAAAAGATTGGACCAATACGGTCAGACTTCGGCGAGCTCACTGATAACGACGGAGAAATGAGCAATAATTTGAATAAATATTTTTCAACAGTTTTCACCACCGAAAATTTAAACATGATACCCGAGGCACCGACTCTATTCAAAGATAGTGAAGAAAACAAATTAAGTGAGATAGTAGTGACTAGTAACGATGTTAGTAAGCAAATAGACAAACTAAAGCCTAATAAGTCACCTGGTCCCGATGAGATATTTGCCAGAGTATTAAAGGAATGTAAGGAAGAGCTTAGTATGCCCTTAGCAAAGTTGTTTAACATGTCATTAAAAACAGGTGTAGTACCAGAATCCTGGAGGATAGCGAATGTAATACCTATTTTCAAGAAGGGGGATAGATCACTATCCTCTAACTACCGCCCAATCAGTCTAACATCAATAGTAGGCAAATTACTGGAAGCAATCATTTCAAACTCTATTCGAAATCACCTGGAGAAGCACTGATTGATCAATGATTCCCAGCATGGCTTCACAAGCGGACGTTCTTGCCTAACTAATCTATTAACATTCTTTTTATCAGTTTTCGAATCGGTGGACGAGGGGCACAATTATGATGTGGTATATCTCGACTTTAGCAAAGCCTTCGACAGAGTCCCCCACGAAAGACTAATTAGAAAGGTAGAAGCTCATGGCATCAAAGGTGACATCCTTAAATGGATTAGGGCGTGGTTACAGGACAGGAAACAGCGAGTGAGCATTAACGGCACTAAGTCCCATTGGAGCAACATCACAAGTGGTGTTCCCCAAGGCTCAGTACTTGGACCATTATTATTTATTATATACATAAACGACATAGATATCGGCATTGGCAGCAACATAAGTAAATTTGCTGATGACACTAAAATAGGACGTGTTATCAAATCTGACGAGGACTCGGCAAAACTACAGGAAGATCTAAACAAATTTTTCGAATGGTCTGAAAAATGGCAGATGAAATTCAACGTCGACAAATGTAAAGTACTCAGTATAGGAGATGTAAACAGGGAAACCAGATACCAGATGAACAACGATGCCATAGAGAAATCCGACTGCGAGAGAGATTTAGGAGTAATGATAAGTAGGAACCTTAAGCCAAGTAAACAATGTGTTTTTGCTCGTAACAAGGCTAATAAAGTACTTGGGTTCATACAAAGGAGTGTTAGTTACAAGACTAGCGAGGTCATCCTAAAACTGTATCTTGCTCTTGTGAGACCACACCTGGATTACGCAGTTCAGTTCTGGTCACCGTATTACAGAATGGATATAGAATCCTTGGAAAGAATTCAGAGGAGAATGACAAGACTAATCCCGGGCATTAGGAACCTTGAGTATAGAGACAGGTTAAAGCATCTTAATTTGCACTCCCTTGAGAGACGTAGAGCGAGGGGCGACCTGATAGAGGTGTATAAGTGGAAGGCAGGGCTAAACAAAGGGGACATTACAAAGGTACTCAAACTATCCAACCAGGAGCGAACTCGTAACAATGGTTTTAAATTAGACAAATTTAGATTTAGGCGTGACATAGGTAAACACTGGTTTGGAAACAGAGTAGTGGATGAATGGAACAAGTTACCAAATATCATCATTAACTCGAATACGCTGAATTGCTTCAAACATAGGTTGGATGCTCATATGAGCAATAGGGGTTGGGTGTAAACGGGACTGCCCAGTATGGGCCAATAGGCCCGCTGCAGTTTCCTTCATTCTTATGTTCTTATGTTCTCTTGTCCATCATAGTTATCCAGCTGCCAGTTGATTCTATGGTTACTCCCCCCCCAAGCAGGTGTAGCAAGTTCCTCACTGAGTTGTCTTGATCGTCAAGTGCCAACTAAAGTTAACACTCCAAAGGTTATGTAAATGATATCAAGGCTTGATTAAAATTTTA